GGGAATGTGCTTGGCATTGTAGACACTAGGGACATTGGTCGTGCAGAGGCAGAAAAGGTAGATGAGGAGAAGGAGGATAAAGTGGAAGAGGAGAAGAAGCAGGAGAAAAAAGAAGAGGAGGAGAAGAAGCAGGAGAGAGAGGAAGAGGAGGAGGAGAATAATGTTAGACTTGCTAAACATTTCCGCCCTGTTTGTTACCCAGATGCAATTGATCAGTTCCGTAAGTGTGCCCTTTTCTTCTTTCTCTCTCTCTTTAGTCTCTTTGTTTTCATCCCTACTGCCCACCTCGCATGTGGTATTTGGTGCCAATTGTGAACCACCTACTACAACCACTGAAACAAAGAAATTGTTAGATAAAAGATTTTCGTGCTTCATGCTACCCGTATTGACTAGAATGATGTTGGTGTGGTGAGAGAAGTGGGTAGACTAGAAGTACAGGGCGTCCATTTACACACGTTGTAGTGGTGCCTCAATCAGTTTCGCCTTTGTATCGCCTCTACCCCATTCATGGTCATCGACTGATGGTGAAGAATTGTGCAATGGAGGAGACAGCCAAGTCGTCTCTCGTGATTACGATGCCACCCCTCGGTAAGACCCAGTATTATTCCACCAATGCATGCTATCCTCACGTTGCGTGTTGTCAATCGTCAGTGTGACTTCAATGCCAAGGCGACTGGTGAATGTCCCATTGTGCTTTTGTTCGTTGTAGTTTATCGACCACCTGGAAAGTTTCCTGTGCAAATCGTGGAATTTTACGAAGGTGATTGTGTTTTACATTGTGGTCGACATGCTGAGTTGAGAGGAGAGAAGTGTGGTAGTGAGTGGACAGTGAATTGAACTGGAGTTGCTTGTGCCTTGTAGATGACTGGTCAGTTGGAGAGGAAGAAGACACAGGTAGGCGCACAATTGAGATGCTTAGACACATGCATTGCAAAGGTGTGTGTGTGTTTGTAGGTGATGGAATACTGGGTGTGCAAGAAGGGAAGGCGGTGGAGGAAGGAACGGAGACGCGGGTGAATATGGGTGGGAGTAAGAGTGAGACCGTGAAAGTGAAGACAAACAAGAACGGGGATGGAAATATGCAGGAGGAGGAGGAGATGAATGTTGTCGAGTTTGAGGGAAAGAAGAATGGAGGTGAGAAAGAGAATAAGAATGGAGAGTGTTTGGTGGTGAGTGTGGACGTGAAGAAGGAGGTAGAGGTGGAGTTGGAGGCGAGGGCGGAGGCGAAGGTGGTGGAAAGAAGGACGAAGGTGATGAAAAGAAGAGGACGAGAGTGGTTGAGGCGAATTCAAGCTCGTGTAAAGAGCCGCCTTCGTCTACCACGAATACGTGCTTGTGTTTCAAAAACGACTGATGCCATATGATCGAATTTACACGTAGCATCATATTGTGAAGGACACTCCAAGTATGTGTAATATCATCTTTCAAGTAGTTTTGCATTTGAAATCACTCGCCTAGCAGAGAAAGTTATTCGCAGCAATGAAATTGGAGCACCCGCACATGATGATAGAAATTGATCAGCCCCTATTAATACATTAGATTGCAACACTGGTGAATTCACAGTAAAGCACGGTGGAGAATTGTGAGGCAGTAAATACAAATAATACCCTTCCATACAGAACTTAAGACCGCAAAGTTGTGTTGCATGCACCACTATTTATTGTCTTCGCTTACTTTCCATTCTCAGGATTAACCCTTCTGCTGTAATGACTGTTGCATATGGGGAGGCGAGAGCCGCACCTACGGCAGCAGCAGCATCAATGCCGATGTGGATTGTGGATGATGGATGTAAATGTGGATGGAGAAACGAAGAGCGATGCAAATGAGATGGAGAAGTTGAAAGCGGGAGGAATGTGATTGAGGATGGGAACGCGGTTAAGCAAAAGAATACAGATTTGACCTGCGCATTCTTGTTGCTGCTGGCATTTTGCCCTGTGTTACTAGGCCTTTTGGGGCATATGGCACCTCTACTATCTCTTGCGGACATAGAGGTGCGGTTTCCCTTTGTCTGCCGCCCCTACCGCCCCGTATTTGCCCTACTCGACTGTACCTCATGACCGTTTCATCGGGGCACCCATTATACCCACTACTCACTCAAAGGCGAGCGTTTCGCCACAAAGCCTCTCCTTGTGTACAAAATGAATTTAAGGTATATATAGGAATTTTACAGAATGAACTGCCAGTGAATGTATGCATGGAAAATGATCTTTGTGGGAGAAAGCAAATGTGTAGCATTTTCCTCTTGGTGTGCCTTCATCTTGAGGTCCTAAATTTGACGCCTCGTCATTGACGACAACAGCGACGAAATTGCGCACTCGTTGGCATATTCGCCAAGTTAAAGCAGTTGTTGAGGCATGTCTTTAGCTATCGTTAGTCTCTTGATGACAGGCGAAGTTAACGCAGCCTTGGTGAGATGCAGCGGATCTGGTATGTGCAAAGGCGGCTCTGATAGTGACGATGCATCTCGTGCTGTCATTCCTTCCATCGTTGGAAGAGCCTGATGAGATCCGGCATTACACCCTCTACAGTTCAGCATTCGAGGCACCTGACAAGCATCCCGTTCTTCCCATTGAGGCTCCACTGAAACACAAGGCTTATAGCGAGAAGACAACCAAATGATTTTCAAGATCATCAACAGTCTGGCTGTGTGTGGATTTCTACATCTCTACTCCTTTCTCTGCAGCCGTCGGCTACTTTGTGCATAATGTGATACACACTACACCCATCTACATCATTTTTGCACCTTTTCTTGCTCTTTTACGTCTCGTCTCAGTGAGCCGAGATTTAAGGAAACACCATGTCAAGACCCTGACTGAGTGTGATTACAACTCTACCACTACAGCAGAACTTGAAACAGCTCGCCATGTTTGGCAGAAAATTTGACGCTTGCCTGATGGTGCCTAATCCTGGGGCCTTTTTAAATTGGCCTTTTTAAACAGGCAGCCATTCGGATGCTTACTACTGAGAAGGAGTGCTTCCGCTATCCCCACGCCCTTACGAACCTGAATTTCTGGGTTGAAAAGCTGCTAATATCCACGAGTCAACCTATCGTCCCAACATGAAAACTGATGTTTGGCATTGAAAAGACCCCTATTTCAATACAGTGCTCCCAGGTGGTTCTGTAACATTT